TTTGTAGTATTAGATTCTCCACGAGCATATTATTCCTTTCATGTGTCAAATTGTGTCTATAAAAGAAGTTATATTGTCACAATTTAATCGTCAAACTTCGCCATATTCCAACATCGTGATTGCAGGTTTTGTTTCTTTTACTAATATCAACATCTTTTGCTACTTCGTATTTTGCAAGCACATTTACATGCATCAATTGTTAATGTTGCATCGAGAATTTATCTTTAGTGTTGCATGAAGAAATTTTTACTATATAATTTTTTGTTTCATGTTTTAGACGTGGCTAATTTCACCTCTCACGTAATTTATAAATTTAATACTGGTTATTGAATAATTGCAATTCATCGTAGAAATTGGTTAGACATTCGACCTAAGTTTTATTACTTAAATATTAGTAATTTTTTCTTTGTTGTATAATTAATAATACTTATTGTTATGCAACCTCAAGTTGCTTGTTTTAAAAAAAAATTAAAAATTAGACTATCTCATTTAATTTTGTGTAATATTAATACAACATGATTTATAATTATGTTATTTGCAATTGCCATGCTTGATTCACTCAGGTTTCACCAATTACATCCGTTCAGGTAAATAATCTTCCTTATATCATTAAAAAAATCAATTATGGATTTAGTCACTTTGATAACTTATAAAACTCTTACGCATGCTTTATTTTAGGTACACCTGTAATGGTCAGTGAAAAAGAATTGTCAGACCAATGTGTCCCAATTAATAGTGTAAGAGTATCTTCTTTATGTTGGGTAATACGAGTCTTAGTGTTTAGGAGTGGAATAGTAACAAAGTTCAACAATAAGACAAATCAAGGCACCCGAAAAAATTGTGACATTAGTTGATAAAGAGGTAAATATTATTTTATATAAGTAATTTATTTCATGTCTTTTGATATTAGTTTTAACCATCAGATTAAACTTAAAGTGGAACTTTTTACAGGGAACAAAAATTTACGCTACACTTTTTAGTGGTTATATTGAGAAGTGGAAAGAACATTTACACAAAACAAGATCGGTTACATCATAAACGGAGGCATTAATAGTGTTAATCCTAATTTTCAATCAGTGCACAAGGAGCTTGAGATTGGATTTAAGGAGAATACTTTTGTTGAAGAAAGCAACAATCGCTTTTCGACCATTGGTTTTTCAAATNATAATTTTCTTGTACACTAGAAAAGTAAATAACTTTTTTTCCTTAACTATTAGTGCTTCGTTCTAACCTCAACAAATGACATTATTTGTTAAACTATCTAAACTAGAAAATTTTGTAGTATTAGATTCTCCACGAGCATATTATTCCTTTCATGTGTCNAGAGATAGTGCTTATCAACGAAATGTAAGTTAGAAGTTTTAGTTTAAAATGTTAAATATTTCTTCGTAATTAATATGTTTAATTATAAATTCAGGGTTGATAGAAAGACTATAATAATATGTTAATATTTTCTTTTTTATGAAATCTCCTCAACTATGCACAAATTAAGTATACATATTATATATGAATTTTACATATATTATAACTATATATTATATTTATTTTATAGATTCTGAACTGTTTCGCTGAATGCGTCGACAATACCATTTTATATTAGAGGTGCCTTCCTCTAGAGGTGCCTTCCTTTTACCAGTAACAATTAAAGCAACATCCTTCCTAGCGCACATCAACATTCTTCGACAAATGACAGAGGATAAGCAATAGTCCAGCTAATGGGTCCAGTAACTTCACCACATCCAAGCTTCATTGTAACACTCAATTTAATATCTACATAACTTTTTTGCATCATCAATTGCTATTAAACTTAATTCATTCTTATTCAATTTCATATACACTATTTTGGCAGCTTACCATTTAAATGTTTGTTGCATCATCAATTACCTTTATACTTAATTCTTTCTTATTCTACCTATTAAAATATGTTCTTTTGTGCATAACGCATAATACACGTGCAACGCACGTACACTAATTCTAGTTATATTAAAAGCACGAAGGCCCTTAGCGAAATGTCGTTCGCCTTTTATACCCTTTATAATCTGACTTCACACTGGACAAAATAGACATTTAAATATTTTCCTAATATTTAGGATTTCCTACGTAAGGGAAGATCTAATAACCAAAGCTAATTTTTTCCTAAATATTAGGAAAATAATTATTGCCTAATAACTAAAATTTTGAATTCAAGTTATTCAATTATGATTTTGTTCCTTTAAAAGTTGAATTCAAGTATGTATATTTTTATTCAGTAAAAAACGACAATCTAATAAAAAACTCGTTTGGGAGAAAGAAACTACAATAAAAAGGAGAACACTTCAAAAAGCTATGTTTTCTGATTGAAACAGCTATTGAAGTCACAACCGTCCTATTTTTTGATATTTATGCTACTTCAAATTGTTTGGATGAACTCGTGAAGATCATCAAGTGCAAAAATCAACGAAAGAAAATTGCCATAGGGTTTTATAAGTTACTATCTAATCCTTATGCATCTTCTGTATTTTAGATTATGGTATCATGAGTTTGGGATTTTATCGAAGCGAACACCGCCACACATAGTTTTAATAAGTTTTTATTTTTAATTTTATTTTATGTTCCTCGTTCCTCAGAATCTATGTTTTGCAGCATTATATATGCCTTTTTTTTTGAAATTTACCAGATTTTGTTTATTAAAACGACTTAAAATTACATAGTAGAATGACAGTAGCACATAATTGCCAGACACAATTATCTGATATTTAGTCAATTTTATATACTCCTCTTTGTTTAGTAGGATCATCACCTTTAAGCACAGTAAATTAAGTTAAATCTTAATTTCAAAAGTTTAATTCTACTTATATAAATATTTTTGAGACATTGATAAATTGAAGTATGTCAAAGCACGAAGTCCCTAACGAAATATCGTTTACTTTTTTTTACACTTTTAAAATAGATTTCACATCGGACAAAAGTAACTTTTAATTATTTTTCTAATATTTAAAAGCTTAAAATCAATTAAAATTTTGCTTATTACATTATTTCTTATTTGAATTAGTTCCTAATATTTAGGATTATAACATCAATAAATATTTACCTTATATAAATCGCTAAACATGAATTATTTAGAATGTTAAGGTCTTCAAGTTAGACATCAATTAGAACTCGAATAAAATTCCGCCACAATTTTCCTCTTCGTTGAAAACAAAACCCAAAACTATCTTGTAAATGTAACACGTAGAAATTTTTTACTAAATGATTTTAAGTATTAATCACAACTCTATTTAAGTTCTTATTTAAATTTTCATAATTTTTTTTCTTTTTGCATTCACTTCCAAAAAATGATAATTTTCTATATTTTTTTTATAAACATTAAGTTATTTATTGTACAATATTAATCGATATTAGTCACTTTTAAGAGTTCAAGAATTAACCCAAATAGTCGTCCACCCTACCACTTAAACTAAAAATAGTCGGTAAATATATAATATATGCATTATATGTGTAATCAACGTATAATATATATATATATATATATAACTAAAAAAATAATAATAATTAATATAGCCGGCTATTCGTGTAAAGATCCACTTAGCTTGCATTGTCACTCAACAATTTTTTTCTAAAAACTACATAGCCAACTTCTTCCTTCAAATCTCTAAAGGACCGAAATTAATGCCGGATAAAAAAGATTTCGGTTATAGTTTTCCGTGTGATGACCTACTTGTGATATTTCGGCATGGAAATGATTCAATCTTTTTTTGTGTGTGTTATTTGACAAATCTATGAAGAATTGTGATAAAAATGTTTTTGTGTTACTTTTTTATTTTTAGTATTAAATCATACAAATAATAATTTTCACAAGATATTCTCATAAAAGTTTTCACAAATCATAATAAGGTATCAGAGAACCTTTACGGGACATAATTTCTTCCTTCGTTAAACTAGCTAAGGACCAACATTCATTGTTAGGAACTTTAACTTTTTTCATAATACAAATATATTATTTAATAATATTGATCTAATTTTTATAATTATGTATTCATTAATATAGAAAATTATCATTTTTTGGAAGTGAATGATATATAAAGTATAGATTCTGACCATATATATAATAACTTTTGTTACTTTTTGTACATACAACAATAACAACAACAACCCAGTATAATCCCACTTAGTGGGGTCTGGGGAGGGTAGTGTGTAGAGAGACTGTTTTCAAATAGACCCCCGACATCATTTCCTCCAAGAACTTCCCACGTTGCTCTTGGGGAGACTCAAACTCACAACCTCTCGGTTAGAAGTGGGGGTTGCTTACCATCAGAGCAACCCTCTTGTTAGTGATAAAACCTAATTAAACCGGGTAAATATTATTCTATTTTTGTATACGTATGGAAAACCCCCTTATTAAATGTAAGCCCAAGGCTAGACAAAGCGGTCAGCCCAACTATATCTCTCTCAAAGGTTCAGCCCAACTATCACTGGCAACGATTCTGATATTTTCTCCTTTCGCTCTTCTTTCTCCTCCGACTACGTCCATATTTCTCCCTCTCCCCTTTCTCGTACAACGGCACCGGAATAATTTCATAACTTAAATCTACTTTAACCCAAAACAGCCGGGAAAGTATGCCGGTTGAAGTATCAAACAGAGTAGCTGAAACTCTTGGTTATCCAAACGGCGATTTGAGACCTCAAAACCCTAACGCCGCCTCTAAGAAATCGAAGGAAAGCGAGAGGCGCCGTAGGCGGAGGAAGCAGAAGAAGAACAAGGCGGCGTCTCAAGTCGCCAATGGAGAAGATAGTGATAACGCTGCCGGAGACGCAAATGGCGGCGCTGAGGATAGCGCTAAGGAAAATTCCGATCCTCAGAAGGTATTTTATGGTGATCCTTAATGTAATATTTTACGGTGTTCTGGTTTTGTTGGTGAACTTAGTCCAAGAAATAATATTTTACGGTGTTCTGGTTTTGTTGGTGAACTTAGTCCAAGAAATAATATTTTACGGTGTTCTGGTTTTGTTGGTGAACTTAGTCCAAGAAAAAATATAAGTACAGATGATAATTATAGGAACAAAGAAATTCGAAAAACTGCGATTAAAGGAAAGGTAAGAAGCTGAAACATGTAAATCAATTTGAAAAACTGATTTTAGACGTTTGACTATGTGCAGGGAGATCCAAATAGGAGTTTCCAATTCAGACTTAGTACTAGTTTCTGATGCTAACTTTCTAATTTTCTATTTTAATCAATAACAAGCTCATTATAATATTCCTTTATTTACTGTTAAGTACCTTCGCTTTCTAGATAGAGCCTCTATGGGTGGTAAGGTATATGCCTTAGTGCCTGCACATGGAAGAGTCTGCTAAGCAAGATCAAGTTTGCACCTATTTTTTGGGTTTAAATGCACCTCAATCAAGCATTTAACACCACTTTATTGCATAATAATAGTTGGCAACCATAACCTTTTATCTTTCAGTAGTAAGTAATATACGTGGGCTACCTTCTACTGTATTATAGATACATATTGAAGATTTGAGATCAATTAGTTTGATAGAGTTATTGCTTCAATACAGAAATTAGAGAACCTTTTCTTAGTTAAAAAATTTGGGAGCGTGAAAGATTTGTTGTGGAAGAAATTTATTCCCAGTTGCCTCGGAGGCAGAGTTACTCGATACCGGTGTGGTGGAGGTAGCAGGTACCCAGTGCAATGGTCGTGGTGCACGAAAGATGGCCCCAACACCACCATTATTAAATAATAAATAAATATTGATGTGGAAGAAATTAGGTTATGCCCTTATAAGAATTTGACATTAGACTATCTGTCCCGGCTCCCTTTTTGAGAAAAAAGATTCAGTCTAAAACTTGTTCTTTCACGGGACTGCTGGATTGAAAATATGCACCTTTGTGATTGTTGGTCTTTTGACATATTTATGTCCTTGCTGTAAAAGGTGATGGATAGTTCTGATTACCGTTTTGCAAATGATATGAGCGAAATCATTTGTTTTTAGAAGCCATAGGTGAAGTGCTACTTGTTATCAATGTTTTGGAGAGTGAGAAGCGAAAAAAGTGACGAGGCCTCGCTTCTCCAAAGCGTGAATGCTTTTTTTCATGTCATGCACAATTTAATACATAAATAAAAATATTAAATAGGCTTTAGATAAATGACCAAGAACTCAATAAAAAAACCAAAACAACTAAAACAGAGAAAAAAACCAGAACAGTCAAGCTGGATCTTTATTTTGGGCTTGATGTCATTGAATAATAAGATAGAATTTACTACAATCACACAAAATAAAATAAAAACAGAACAGTTAAAACAGAGAGAAAAACCAGAACAGTCAACAGAACAGAGATTAACAAAAAAATAGAGCAGAAGCAAGCAGAACATAGAAAACAGAGAGAAATGAACTGAAAAAAATAGAAAAGAAGAAGAGAAAAAAGAGGAGAAGAGAAAATTGGAGAGGAGTCAAGAGGAAGCAGGTGAGAAGAGAAACTTACCTTGAGAGAAGTCGCAACAATCAAGAGAAGAGGAGAAGTCGCAACAGTCAAGAGTGGAGGAGGAGAATTCGCAAGGTTTGCAGCAGTCACTCGAAGCAGATGTTTTGGAAGAAAAGTCGCGTAAGAGTGTATTTGCAATTTTTTTTTTTAAAAATCCCTAGGTAGTCGTTGACCTCGCTTAAGCGAGCTTTTCTCTTGCGCCTTGCTTCTCGCTTTTTTGCCTGAAGCGTGCCCTTTTTATCTTATGTCTCGCTTTAGGGCAGAAAAGCACAAGTCTTGCGCCTTGCCTTGCTTCTGCGCTTTAAGCGCATTTTTGTTATAACCTTTGGATTTTAGTAGTATGCTTTCATATACTAAAGTGTAATAAGGATATTTTGACTATTATATTTGCATCGTCTAATGTGTATAAAATAGTTGGCAATTGGTGAATTTCCGAGCTTCAGCGAGTAATTAGAAAATTCTGCTCATCTATTTGTCTCTGAAAAGGATACTGATCTGATATAGATGACCACCAGGATTACTTGGTTCACTGCCTCCTTTTTGATGTCAATCTTTTCCAAAGAGATTATTGTTATATCTGTAGAAATATCGAACCTTCTAGAACTTTTTGCTGCTAAATTGCAGAAATGGGTGTTTTATTCTTTATTCGATCATGTGTTTTTGAAGCTTCACCTTTGAAATGTGCAGCACTGAATGTAAAAGAATATTCTGGAAGCAGCAGAAACTTGGTCCATGTCTCAAAAAGCACCTTTTCCTGTTGGTTTTATTGTGTTATTGAACATATTCTTACCACTATAAGAAAAGTGTATTTACCTAAACATTCGATGTTGACCTTACTCCCTGGTTTTCTACAGTCTTTGGAGCAAGTTGAAGTGGAGTATGTACCAGAGAAGGCTGAATTAGATGGTGAGTTCGATGAGGAATTCAGGAAGGTTTTTGAGAGATTTACTTTCACGGATGCTGCTGGTTCCGAGGTAAATGGAACTTTGTTCTGATGTTTTGAGTGTAGCTGGACTTAGATTAGGGATTTTCTGTTGTTGGTCTCTTGTCACGTGTCAAAGTGTAGAAATGTATTAGGTGGTGGTCATTTTCCACTGAAGCCAGTTTGCCTAATTTCATTTCATTTGAAACTCCTCAGGAGAATGAAAAAAAGGATGAAACTGCTGTGGATGGAGCCTCCAAGAAAAAGGCTGATTCTGATTCTGAGGACGACGAACAGGATGACGCACAGCTAAAGGAGAAGGGCATCTCTAACAAAAAGAAAAAAGTTAGATTTTCAGCATTCTTTGTTCATATTTCTTGTTACTTCTAAGTTGTTTACCTTCAGTAGGCCCCACACTGAATTGCTTGTTCATTTCAGCTTCAGCGTAGGATGAAGATTGCAGAACTGAAACAAATCTCTATGAAGCCTGATGTCGTTGAGGTATGGAAGGCTTTTGTTTCATTGTTATTAACTGGACATATATTCTCCATGCAGTTTTGCGTACTTTTAGCCTGTGTATTTGTCTTGTCATGAGCCCAAAATGAGTTATTAACTATTATTCCTTGAATAAATGTCTACATTGTCATTTTCTGTATGTCGTTCTGTTCATTCTTTTGTGATTATGCCCTTCCCTTCCTAAGCTCTTTGAATTTTCTTTGCTTGCCTTTTCAATTTGCTTTCTGGTTGTGTCAATTGTTATGGTTTGAATCATTTGTTAAGTATGACTTTATGAGGATTCAGACATTAATTTGTTTTAAGGATATAGTATTATCACCTATCAAAAGAAGGTATTAATGTCCTTTTTATTTGCATCTCTAGTTTGGGCTAGCGTGGAAGAATATTTTTCTGCTGTTTCTTTGTCTTATGTGCTACCTTCTTTTCTGCTCACTTGTTCACAAAAGGCAAAGTGCCCCCATGTAAACTGCCAGATTGCGAATATTTTGAACTGTTATCTTTGCAGATCAAGTTGGAGGGTCAGCGTGACCCTAAGATAAAACTACATAATAACCTTCGGTTCTTTCTTTTTGTCATCACGCAAATCATCATCTTTTTCTTTTACTGGAAGTATATTTTGCATGATGGTCACACAGGTTTTGGTTATACTTTTTTGATAGTATGACATCGTTGGTGTGATAAAATGTCTGGTTTCTTATTTGTACGAGAATTTATCTTGTTTATATTTAACTTGTATATAATATAAGTTATCTTACTTTTAGTTATTTATATACGAGATAACTGCTAGTTATTGATGTCTAGACTCTGGATTTTGTTTCTAAGTGTAGCTTACTTTCCCTTGGTACTGATTATATATATTTGTTTAGGTGTGGGATGCTACTGCAGCAGATCCTAAGCTCTTGGTATTTCTGAAATCTTATCGAAATACTGTTCCTGTTCCAAGGCACTGGTGTCAGAAACGGAAATTTTTGCAGGTTAGTCATCGCAATGGTACATATATTGCAAGGTTAATAATAGTGAGGAATAATTTATACCCCTTGCTCCGCATGTATCTAGTTAAAATAGAATTGGTTGATAGGAAACAAGGTTTAGTTTACGAAGGGGCTCATAGAAGATAAATGAGGTTTGTCTTATATGTATATACATGTGGTTCTTGCAGGAGAGCGGCTGTGACACTGGTGGAGCCTCAAACATGTAGGTGTTTGGCAAGGAGAATCCTTGCATGATATCTGTTTCTATATATATTTTAGTGGGTTGGGATAAATGCATTTGTCTGTTTGGTGTCTATGGTGCTGTGGATTCACTTTGTCTTATCTGTTTGAAACGACGGGCTGCTCTCAAGCATGCATCTTAAAGTTTGAGTGACTAATATTTTTCAACTATCCGAATTCTTGTAGTTTCAGCTGTCTTTGCATTATTTGTCTGCTCAAAGTTAGATTTTCTGTTATGATGGGATCTGCCAGTACAGTAGTATAGTCATATAAGCTGCTCATAGTATGTCGATACAGTTATCTTAGTCTCTCTTTTAGTAGCTTTTATCTCACTGACATTGAATTTTTTTCAGGGGAAGCGTGGAATTGAGAAACAACCATTTCAACTTCCTGACTTTATAGCTGCAACAGGAATTGAGAAAATTAGACAAGTATGATTACTCTGTCCAACTTTAGCTTTCTTTCCAGATGGCTTTGTTAAATAGGAATGTGTTGAATAAATGATTCTCAAGTAGATGCTTTGATTGTTCTCAAATATGATCAACTACAAAAATACGTGCATTAAGAAATGGAGGTTTCTCATTCTGACGACAGAAAAATGAGAAGCAGGCTGGTCTTTTATCATAGTAGTAAAGTAATGATTATAATTAAAATGAAGCAAAAGTTTCGAGTAAAACTCCTTGATGCTTTCTCATTTTAAGTTATCTTGAGATGAGCCTAANATTCTTCTTACACCAAAAAGGACTTTTAAAACACCTAGACTTCACATGCAAAATGTGTTCTTTCCTGCGGTTGACCCTTTAGCAGTTCTAAACTTCTAATTGCAAAGCAGACTATCGTAAAACTATTTACCTGGAGTAAGATGCTGAGTTTAGGAATCAGTTGTGTGAAAACTTATTGAATTATGATACCTTTCTGTGAGCGTATGTAGTTTTCTCTGGTTTCCTTGCGCTGTTTGAGTATATCTTATTTACTCTTTTTCTGCAGGCTTATATTGAAAAGGAGGACAGTAAGAAGCTTAAACAAAAGCAGCGGGAAAGGATGCAGCCAAAAATGGGGAAGATGGATATCGATTATCAGGTTTTTACATAGCCTCTGTTTCCTCAATAATATTGACCTTTTAAATACTTATGAACTACTAGTTAAATGTTTATGTTTCTGAGGCTTACTGCTCTGGATTATTCTTCACAGGTTCTCCATGATGCCTTTTTTAAGTATCAGACTAAACCGAAGTTGACACATCATGGCGATCTGTATTATGAAGGGAAGGAGTTTGAGGTACAAATAGCCATTGTTATTGTTCATCAAACTTATGCTCTTTCATGTCTAGCTTTTCATGCTAATTTTGACCATTCTCAGCATTGCTCATATATTTCATCAATCCTGGGAATAGCAATGGCAGTCTTTTTGTTGTTATCTCATATGACCGAACTGGGGTGATTTGGATAGAATTGCCCAACTTGGAGATGTGTTTCACCTTATGTGTTGATTTGATCTTTGATTGTGTTGGGCTGTATGAGGGCTAATTCTTTACAGTGTTATCAAAGCCGAAAAGCGCAAAAAAGCTTTTAGGTCCATTGGGGCTTTAAGCGCAAATAAAGCGTGGGCTTTAATGAAAAAAGGCGTAACGGGAGAAAAAGTAAAAATATGCATTTAGTCCAAGACTAATGATTATAAGCATGAATAACAAATATATGGACAAAGAAATTGAAAAAAAAATTCACGATGAAGTGAAATATCAATTGTTTAAGGTCGCATTTTCAGGATTACACTCCTTGCAAGGAAAAGTATGCCTTAGAGCTTTGATGTGACACTAAAGCGCCCACAAAGCGAGGCGAAGCGCTCAACGTGTTTTGAGCCTCGCTTCAGGGCTTAAGCGCTCCTTTGACAACACTGATTCTTTATTAATATGCTCTTTTGTCTGTTAACCACCATTTGATTTTGACGCGCAGGTCAAGTTGAGGGAAATGAAACCTGGAATGTTGTCTCATGAACTGAAAGAGGCCCTTGGTATGCCTGAAGGTGCTCCTCCTCCTTGGCTCATCAATATGCAGGTTAGCTAATAAAACTACTTGCTACTTTCAACAAAAGAAAACCCTTAAAACTAATTGTTTTTATTGGAAGAGATCATTTTGTTCCCCCGTGTTCTGTTTTATTACTAGAATGAGTTCCATTGCTGATGTGGTCTTAAACCTCCAATTTTCTGTGCAGAGATACGGTCCTCCACCCTCTTATCCTCAGCTGAAAATCCCTGGACTCAATGCTCCTATTCCACCAGGAGCCAAGTTTGGCTATCAGCCGGGAGGTTGGGGTAAACCACCTGTTGATGAAGTAGGTTTTACAACCTTTTAAGTATATTAGAGTTTTTTTATATTCTCTTTCAGTTTACTGCAATAAAATTTCTTCTTATTTTGAGTTTTAACCTTTCTTCCCTTCTATTTGACATAGTTCGGACGCCCTTTATATGGAGATGTCTTTGGTGTGTTGCAACAAGACCAGCCTAATTATGAGGTATGTTGTGTTATTTTTTTGCTTGGTATGCTGCCATATTTCAGAATGGTTAAATAAAGAATTCTTAAACTAACTTTATTTGGTAACCTTGCAAAGGTGTCCCACTAATGATGTTTTAATGCTGTTATTAAATTCATGTATGTGGTCTTGTAGTTGGTGCCACAAAAGCTTGTGTGTCACTTTTCCTGTGTGGTGTCTAAGTAAATCGTGCCGATCTTCATGTGTAGGATGAACCTGTTGACAAGACTAAGCATTGGGGTGACTTGGAGGAGGAGGAAGAAGAGGAGGAAGAAGAAGAGGAAGAAGAGATGGAGGAAGAGGAGCTGGAGGATGGTATTCAGTCAGTGGACAGCCTTTCAAGGTATTGCACTTGATCCATACCTTTAATACCCATTATCTATCAGAAATCTTGAAGTAGCTTGACATTGTCCTAGCTTTTAATTCCCTTCACTAGTTTATTCATTCTCTCTAGGATCCATTTGAGGCTTTTTTCTCAATGTATTTTTGTTTTTGGTGTAGTACTCCTACTGGAGTTGAGACTCCTGATGTTATTGACCTTCGCAAGCAGCAGAGGAAGGAGCCCGAGAAGCCCCTCTACCAGGTAATTGGACCAACTTTGACTTCCAGTTCTTGCGTTTCGCCTGATTACTTTTTCCTCCTTGTAAGGAAACTCATTACATCTCTTCTTCTATTAAGGTGCTTGAAGAAAAAGAAGAAAAGATAGCTCCTGGAACGCTTCTTGGAACAACCCATACGTAAGTAATCTACCTACCTTTCTATACTCCCACAAATAGTGTTGAGCATTAACATTTAGCCCTTTCCACCACTGTGTAACTGATTTGTGCTCTCATCCTACAGGTATGTGATCAACACTGGTACTCAAGACAAGACTGGTGCCAAAAGGGTAAGGGAATCTTTCTGTGCTGTGTCCCCCGTGTTCAAATGCAAGTTTACCTTCTTGTTGGGTTTTATTTATGAACAATTAATGCTGAAATCTTAACAGAATACAAGATCTCAGTTTTCTCAAAGCCCTATTGATGGGGCAATTGGATAAAACATAATAGGGCAAAATTTTCAACTTTGTTTTCTTAGTAATTGGGCCCTAATGGAAAATCACGTAATCAAAGACAAGGGCGAAGTACCACCACCAAAAGTCTTGTTTCTTTTTGACTAATCTTATTCAATACGTCAATTTCATTTGTACGCATTTAGGCGAGGCACTAGATTAGAAGTTGAGGCTAATTGCTTGAAATGTTCACTGCAGGTTGATCTGCTCAAAGGTCAGAAGTCAGATAGAGTTGATGTCACATTGGCACCTGAAGAGTTGGAACTCATGGACAATGTCTTACCAGCCAAGTAAGTAGCGATTCTTTTAATACTTTCTAATTAGAGGCTTCTACATGTTAGTTTAAGTTTTTCTAAAACATTCTTGTGCTTTTTATAGATATGAGGAAGCTAGAGAGGAAGAGAAGCTTCGTAGCCAGCGTGAAGATTTCAGTGACATGGTAGCAGAGGTGTGTGGTTATTTAGTCTCTTCCTCTTCATTCTATCTTTCCGCACCCACCATATGTTTCTTGGAATTATTGGTTTTTGAGGAGCATCTGTACTAATGAGATGAAATTATTGCAGAACGAGAAGAAGAGGAAACGTAAAATGCAGGAAAAGGAAGGCAAGTCCAAAAAGAAGGACTTCAAGTTTTGAGGTGGTTTTGGGTTTATATAATGTACCATCTAGTTACTTTAGGGCTGCAGTATTTCCAGCTAAGGGGCATCCCGTCTTGAAGGAATAGCATTAGTTGGCCAATTTGCAGTTTTTGCACTACGAGAGATCTGTATGCTGTAGTGAAGTATTTTCCATGCGTTTAAGCACAGGAAATGCTGTATGATAACTTGATCCTGTCAATGTGAATCTTAGTTTATGGCGCTCTCATTTCACTTCTGCATGCTGTCGTTGACGGTTTATACGCAACTGTAAGGTTGTTCAGCTGTACCTGAACATTGAAAAACTCTCTTGCTCTAGTTCAAATATGTGCAACTTGATTGTAATTTTAGTTTTAGTTCCAATATAGATGTTACGTAAATGTACGACTATTACTTGAGAAGTCATTAAGCTTTGCTGTTTCCCGTGTCTGTCCCTTCATCTGCGCTGGCATTAATTCTCAAGTCTCCGTATCGTACAGTTGTGCCCATTTTGCTACCGGGCTGCACCATTACAATATTACATTTACTAGCTGTTTTCACGTCTTACAAGATATTTTCTTTTTAGGTCATTTTAATTCTTCATGTATAATACTAGGGTAAGAGTAGAGGTGTTCACGGTTCGGTTTGATTGGTTTTTGATTAAAATCAAAACCAAATCAATTTAATCGGTTTTTAAAATTTTAAAACCAAAACCAAACCAAGTTAAATACAAACCATCGGTTTGGTTGTTATTGGTTTGGTTCGGTTTTTCGGTTCTTAGTAAGCTAATAATAAGTCGATAATAGTAAAACAACACTATACAATAATTTGAAAATAATTTGGTAAATTTATGCTTTTTATATATTTCTTCCGGAATTAAAAGTTTATTTACCTCTTTATATGAAAAGAATGAACAAAAAAACAAACTAAAAGTTTGCTTTCTCAAGCTTTAGCCACTGTAGTCCTGCAATTTGAGTTTGCTTTCTTTACTCTTATGGTAGGATTTTTTTTAACTCTTCTATTAGGCAAAAGTATGTGCGGAGGGTTAGAGAATTAAAGTTTCTTAAGGAAAAGAAAATTGGCCGATTCCTATTGTTTTGGGCTTAGGTAATCTTTTAAGATATAAGTAGGATAAATCAAAATTCAAACTAACAATTAAATTGCATAAATTTTTTAAAATTATTTAGAAAAAATATTATATTGTATATAATTAATCTGTTTGGTTCGGTTTATTTTTTGATTTTTTATAATAGAACCAAAACCAAACCAAATATTATCGGTTTTTAAAATTTAAGACCAAAACCAGTCCAAATCAAAAAAAATATCGGTTTACTTAATCGGTTTGGTTTGATTTTCGGTTTGGATCGGTTTTCGTTAAACCGTGAACAGGCCTACTGGCGTAAGAGAAATAAATGTTGAGAAAGTTACTATGTTCTTATAGTGGTGGTTTTAGACACGAGACAAAGGGATAGCTATACTTATTATCCATGGCCCGAAACATATGGTTTGGCACTGGAGCTCTGTGGCTGCAAAATGGATGGTGGGTGCCAAAGAGAACCCTTAGCATTCTGAGGAACAGAAAGAAGTTTATTCGATTTGTCAATATTACTGCATGTTAACTACTTCAAGGTTTGGCTTAGTGATACAATTAGTTATTGTCTTAAAAGTTATTCAAGTGAAGATTACCAATTCACCAAGGAAATGATAACCTATTGATGACTAATATGAAATGTTCATGAAACATATGCGTGGCACATTATGCAATTATAGTTTTCTAAAATTCAATAAACACTGAGTGTGAATATCGCCAAGATTTTGAACAGTCAAAATAGTATTTCTTAGATTGCATTTTTTCAAGCATTTCAGATATTTATAAATAGATAATAAGTTACATTAGGGTTTTTGCAATTTTTTATTTTAGAAATTAAGGAATTGAGTTATTCCAACATTGCATTTTGAAAAGAAAAAAAAAAACTACTGTCGGGTGCGGACAGTGCTTCTTTCATTTAATGAACTTGAATTCATCGAATCCAGATAGTGAATTCGGAATACCATATAGCTGAAACAAAAAATACTACTAAGAGAGAAGGGTGCGAAAAAAGATAAGTTCCTTCTTTTTCAACATAGAGATAAGATAAGAGAGAGAGAGAGCTATTTTCATTGTTTTGAAGAAAAAATAAGTTATTTTTACTGAACTTTTCTTTGATCAAATGGATATTATGGTCCCATACAGGAAAAGCCCTCTTAATTCTCTCATTCATACTTCCCAGCGGTAAATACTATAGGGAAGCTTCGAATGTGTAAAGCACGAAAGCTGAATGCTTGTTTCACACCCATTTGTATGCCAACCAGATGTTTGATATAGTTCCTGAACGAAGTATATATGCTGAATATCGTAGTCCATGAGCTTCAATGCACCAAATATCACATATGAATTGTCAGTCCTCTGCTAAATGTGGGATTCTTGAAGCTAATCATTTCTGTCCAGTTTTTCAATGCCAGTTGCCCACTATTCCTTCAAGTAACAGAGTAAGAGATAAACATGTGGTATAAATGCTTGTAGACTACTTATCAGAAAGAAAATTGGAGACTGTTAGCTGCCATTTTTCATTGTAAATTACTCCTTATTAATTTCTTCCACTATTACTAATATATTATATAAGGTTCCGTTTGTTGTTTTCTAAAGATTAAGATGTCTGGACTTCATCACATATATGATTATTTAGATGTTGTCTATAAATTAAACACTGGATAAGTAAATTGGTTTATTTTCTCAACATCTGAATGTGTATAATTTATTTTTATTTCAAACGATTACATAATAAAGTTTAAATTAAGTAATAATTAAATATTATATCCATAGAATATTAGAGTGAGTCTTAATTTACATGGTGTTTTAAAATGAGGCATATTCTAAAAGCTGGTGGTAGTGGCAGCTACCGATGGTGATGGTTGTGAGGTGGTGACTCATCATGGTCATGGTTGGTGGAGGTAACTGTTGGTGGTAGTTTTGTAATGGTAATAGAAAGTGATGACTGTGCGGTAGTTGATGGTGTGGTTGTGTGGTAGAGGCTAGTGATATTGGTTGATGGTGGTAGTTAGTGGTATTGTTTGTGCGGGGGAAGATGGTTGGCAGTGAAGGTGGTTGGCAGTGGAGGTGGTGGCTAGTGGTGGTGGTTGTGCTTTGGGAGTGAATAGAGTAGTGATAAAAGAATAACCGTCACAGGAATCTTAATAACTTTAAGATTCTCTACAAGACTGGAGTGAATCATACATGTTAAGAGCAAATAAATGGTTGTAAGAGGAAAAAAGAAAAAGAAAAGGAAGATTGAAACTAGTTTTAGTTCTGTATGAATCTTAATTGAGATCTGAATGGTTATATTTAGAGAACAAACAAAGCTTAAGTCAAATACTTTCTTCCACAATGTGACAAAGAGAGTCATAATTGGTCTAGTTGGTTTTCTGATAGTGCACATATCATCTTAATTACTTTATATGTTTCAGCCATTTAAGTTACTTTCCGCTTAGTTGAGTGACAGTTTAGTGATACTATTTTAATTTCTATACAGGTAGTTGTATCGAGATCACAATTGTCGTTGCCAAATATCAAGAGAAATAATGGGGTTGTTTGTAACAAGATGCTTGAAACTAGTGTTAGTTCTGAAGCTTCCATCAAAGCTCAAGTCCAAAAACTGGTTGATCTACTCCATGTATGCGCTGATGAAGAGTTATTAGATGAAAGCAAAGCCATTCATGGTTATATTCTGAAGTCTGATTTTTCAGATAATAACTTGTTGCTGTTGCTTAATCATGTATCACACGCATATTCGAAATGCTCAGAGTTTGGCTCTTGTCAGGTATTGTTTGATAAAATGTTGCAGAAGAATGTCTTCTCTTGGACTGTCATGATTGTGGGATCAATAGAAAATGGATTTTTCTATGATGGGTTCAAATACTTCCGAGAGATGCTAGAGTACGGAATGCTGCCAGATGGATTTGCTTACTCGGCTGCATTGCGGTTGTGCGTTGCTTTAGGCAGCCTTGAATTGTGTAAAATGGTACATGCTCAGATTGTTGTGAGAGGCTTTACTTCAAATGTTATTATTAATACATCACTTCTTAACATATATGCAAAGTTGGGGAATGTTGAGGCTTCATCTCTGGTTTTCAACAGTATGAGTGAAAGGAATGCAGTCTCTTGGAATACAATAATATCAGGACTTACTGCTAATGGTCTTCATTTGGAAGCGTTTAATCGTTTTCTTGAAATGAAAAATAAAGGATTTTCCCCAGATGTATACACTTTAGTTGGTGTAATGAAGGCAGTCGGGAGTTTAGGTGATATTGGCAAGGGTAAGGTAGTCCATAGCTGTGTTTGTGAGTTAGGTATGGATTCTAATGTTGTTGTAGGCACTGCACTGATTGATATGTATGCTGAATGCGGTGCTTTATGTGAGGCAAAGACTGTTTTTGATTCTAATTTCAGCAATTGTGGAGTAAATATGCCATGGAACGCAATGATTTCTGGTTATACACGGTGTAGATGTAGCCAAGAAGCTTTACAGCTATATGTTAATATGTGTAAAAAGAATGTTAGGTCTGATATTTACACTTACTGTAGTCTGTTCGACGCGATAGCTGAATCAAAATGTTCCAAGTTTTTAATGGAGGTTCATGCGGCGGTTCTTAAATCTGAATATGATAATATATCCCTTAGTGTGCAGAATGCAATTGCAGATGCTTATGCTAAATGTGGGTCTCTTGAGGGTGTAAGGAAGATCTTTGACAGAATGGAACAAAGAGACATAGTGTCTTGGACCACTCTTGTGACTGCATATTCTCAAGGTTCCCAATGGGAGGCAGCTATAGCCGTTTTTTCTCAGATGAGGGAAGAAGGCTGTGCAGTCAATCAGTATACTTTGGCTAGCACCCTTGTTGCATGCGCTAGCCTATGCTATCTTGAGTACGGTCGGCAACTTCATGGGCTCCAGTACAAAACTGGGTTACAGAATGAAAGTTGCATAGAAAGTGCACTAGTAGATATGTATGCCAAGTGTGGGAGCATAACTGAGGCAGAAAAGGTATTTGGTTGTATTTCCAATGCTGATGCTGTTTCTTGGACTGCCATGATATCTGGGTATGCCCAACATGGTTCTGTATTTTGTGCACTTGAACTATTCAAGAAAATGGAGCAATTGGGCATTAAACCCACTGCAGTTACATTATTGAGCATTTTGTTTGCTTGTAGCCATGGTGGATTGGTTAAAGAAGGTCTTCACTTTTTTTGGTCAATGGGTAAAAGGTATAATTTGGTACCAGAGATGCAGCATTATGCTTGTGTGGTTGACCTCCTTGGCCGTGTGGGTCTTCTAATTGAAGCGTTCGAATTTATTGGAAAAATGCCTGTTGAACCGGATGAAATGGTTTGGCAATCACTGTTAAGTGCATGTAGGATTCATAGAGATTCTGAGCTGGGAGAAATAGCTGCCAAGAAAATCCTTTCTGTTTGCCCTCAATATTCAGCTACATATGTTCTTTTATCCAATACATATATGGAAACTGGGAATTTTAGAGAGGGAATTGACCTGAGAAATGTTATGAAAAAGCAAGGGGTTAAAAAGGAGCCAGGCTTTAGTTGGATTACTATTAACGGTAAAGCCCATAAATTTTATGCAAGCGATCAGGAACACCCAGAGAAAAAAAGCATTTATCTTATGCTGGAAGAATTAAGGGTGGATATGAAGGCTTTGGGTTATAAACCAGATTTCAGATCTGTTTTAACATCTGGAGATTGAAATAGCACCTTGTAGCAACTAGTTAGGGGAGTCAACATATGAAAGTATTGGGAGATGACTTAGGAGAAAGAGTCATTATGATGCAAGCTTTGTACTTGAGGAACGTCTCATATGAAAAGCGATCATTTTGGTGCTAGTAGTACTTGAATTGCTTCTGTTGTGAAGGTTGTCCGATGGGGCAGATCCGTATATGCTAACATCCAGAAATTCATCCAGTTTCAGCTAACTGTTAACGTTGCTGCTCTAATAATTAATGTTGTTGCTGCAGTTTCTGCTGGTGATGTCCCATTGAATGCTGTTCATCTACTTTGGGTAAATCTTATTATGGACACCATGGGTGCACTTGCACTGGCCATAGAACCACCAACTGATCATCTAATGCGCCGAGCTCCTGTTGTTCGAAGGGAACCTCTCGTCACCAATATCATGTGGAGAAACCTAATAATACAGGCTCTGTATCAAGTTACAGTTCTCCTAATCCTCAATTTTCGAGTTGAACAAATTTTGCATTTAGAGCATGAGACGAGGTAGTGCGCTGTTAAAGTGAAGAATACCTTGATTTTCAATGCTTTTGTCCTATGTCAGATTTTCAATGAATTCATGCTCGGAAGCCAGATGAGATGTATTCAGAGGAGTCCACAAAAATCATCTATTCATTTCAATCGTCTGCCTCACATTGGTGCTTCAGGTTATCATAATATTCTTTCTTGGAAAATTCGTTTCAACTGTGAGACTGAGTTGGCAATTTTGGCTTGTTTCAATAGCCGTTGGACTTATAAGCTGGCCCCTTGCTGCTCTTGGGAAGTTGATACCTGTCCCTGAGAAGCCATTTGGGGAGTACTTCTCCAAGAAATTACCGAAACGAAGAAATCAACTAGAGTGTTCATAGATATTTATACACACGCAAAATTAACTAACAAAAGTGTCTGTTTTGTTAGGGTGGCATTTCTTTTGCTGCTGTACATAAATTTGCTGCTAATATTTTACTAGTTCTTGGGTCATTTTGTGAATGTAGTAGAACAGTATAAATATATTTTTTGAATGCCTCTTTAAATTCGGATGTAGTCGTCTCTGCAGCCGATTCAAATTTTCCTGTTATGTCTATGTTCTCTGAGGTTTAAAAAAAAAAGCCTTTTCTGCTGTTTATTACATGAATGTGTCATTTATACGGGAAAAAAATTGCCAGATTCTAAAGCTACTCTTTTAGTGGAGATTTGTTGTTATGTTTTGAATCGTAGCACAGAGGTTAGATATTCTGCACAAAATGAACTATTTGCCTAGGACTCGGGATAAATATGCATGGCAGACACTGAACTTGTCTTTATGTTGAATCATAGCACCGTCGTGGGCCTTCGTTTTGCTTTCTATCTCCTGTATCCTAACAACTAGTTACAAATTCTGCGTCACCTATTAAAATTTAAGTTCCATGGCATTATGAAAGATGCAACTTCAAGAGTTTCCCCAAAGGAAGAGGTGCCAAAAGCAGGGAAAGAGGGGCCTTCTACTATTTTTCTCCTTGTTGAATACTGAATTCACTGGGACGTGCTCATTGAGGAAAAGGTACCTTTGGGATGAAATGGACTTGAACAGAGATGAACAGATGAATGGATAAAGAGAATTCATACAGCCGATACCCCAACCAATTTGTGATTGAAGCACAGTTGATTGACTGATTGATGGCAGGAGGTCCTAATTTTCAAATCCAATCCGTACCTGCGTCCATTTTATTGATTGCAGTTCCAAGCGTCTTGTGGGTGAGTTCGGTATCCTCAATTCCTTCCAGACTATAATCATCTTTGTTATTGCTGCTTTCAAACTCTTAAAACTATTTTTATATTATGTCTCATTTTTGTCTGAATGCAGAATTGCTGAGTTGTAGTATCTTCATGGATCATAAACATGCAACTTCTTGCTGCTAGTTGCTTAGACCACGGCAGAAGTAGGAGGCTCATTTCTATGGTGAGACTTTTCTGCTGGTCTTTGATTTCTGAAGTAGAATCCTATTTTCTCTGACAAGGATGCACATTATGATCTTCCTTAATTTAACCTAAGGTCGTTATTAAGATATGTAGTAATTGCATTTTAGGCTTCTTTTTCGCTCACTCTCACGGAGTTGTCTTCACTATTGCTGCATCCATTGCATTTAGGAGCTTTATGGTTTATTCTTTATTAACCTTTGATACCTTTCTCAGCCTTTTGGTTAAAATCAAGCATGGGCGTATCTAGAGGGTTCCATGGGGCACGTGAACCCATGCTCCCCTCACTAGATTAGGTATCGTAATGTTGTAATCTTTTCAAAAATACTTAAGTATATATGTGTGCACCCAAGCTCCACGTATTATATGATGCGATGGTTATTGCGATTTGGGCGCACCTCTATATGCAAGATTATGAATTCAAATCTTATGTCAATCTTGTTATTTTTTCCTTTTTTCCCTAGAACTAGGTGCCCATTGGCGATGGGTGTATCTGGTGTCACTTTTTGCGTATTAATGAAGTACTTTTTATTTTGTTTCTTTCTTTATTTAATTTATTCTTGTGTATATTAAGCTAGTAGCTGTGTATGATATAGCATATTAGCATATAATCAATGGGTTGAACTGACTCCAACATTTTTGACACGAAGTATAGATGTAGATGTAAGAAAATTACTATTTTAAAAAAATTAATTTTTAACTTATACTTTCAAAAGTGTAATGGGTGTAATAGTAAGTACTAAATGTTGAACCCGTAAAATTTATATAGTAGATCCACATTTTAGTAATAGTGCATCCATCTTCCCAAAATCTTGAATCCGCCTGAGATCAAGTGTGTTCTCTAGTAACCTTTGTAGGCACTATATCAGTATGAAATACTAGTAAGATTGTTAGAGAGATCAACTTCTGAACACTAATTAATTACTGAAAATTTGGTTAGGTAACTCTTTTGAGGAAATGAGCATAGGTTATTCTCCTGTTAGAGTTCTTTTCTCCCATTGGGGATTTTGGGTGTGGGAAGGGGCTTAGATGGCTTTCTTCTTTGTGTATTCTATCGAGAGAAGTTAATCAAATCCTAGCGAACATGCAAATTATTTGCTTGCATATGTAGAATCTGTGAATTTTGCTAGAATTACTAAGAAATAGAAACTGATTTGTATCTAGACAGATCCAAGGTTGCTCTGAGAATGAGAGTGAAGATATGAATGAAGGGTGTGGAAGGAGGTTGAGAGAATGAGAAAAGATGGTTGAGAGGGGGGAATGCTGGTGATCGGAATACTGAGGTTTGATCGGACCCTAGAGAGAAGTTAGAGCTAGGTTTATATCCAAAATCTTTCTTGTTGCCTAAATGAATAATCATTTGAAGTATTTTATCGCTAGGATCATTCAAGATTCAAATTACTTTCTAGTGCATCACTATTCTAGCTAAATTCACTTATGATGCATATGCAAGCAGGTATTTTATACGAGAAATTATGAAGCATACAAATTCTTAATGTACTGTGTGAAATGGACTATTCTCTTCAGGACTCAGGTGTCTTGATACAGAGAGGATGATATCTTATACTGTATGAGAACTCAGTTAAACATGAAAGTTTTTTTTTTCCTTTTCTTTTTGCAGATTTCCCATGATTGAAAGCATGTTTCATGGTTCTACACAACTTCCAGGGGTTCAAATATTGACATATTAGCAGTAAAATAATGCTCAATTTCGTGAAAATGTGTTACTGTTCTTGCAAAAATGACCACCTAAATGCAACATTTCGTTCCCTATTTATCCCAAGAAAATGATATGTTTTTCCTTAAATGGTCTCTATTCGTAGGGATTTTCTTAAGCTCAGCTGGATACGAAAGGAAGTATAAAAGCAGGATGGAAACAGTGGAAATAGAAAGGATATAACGTTCACGTCAACAAAGAAAGCAAACAAATTCTTTTTACTAGGTTAAGACAGCATGGGGTCGTTTAGATACCGAGATTAAGAATATAATCTCATTATGCAATCCGTGTATTATTTTATGTTACATTTGATTGGTAATTCGTTTTCGGTATAAGCAATAACTGTATAAATTATAGGAAAAATGATATTGTATAACCGTTCTCAAAATAATAATCGAAAATATATATATACATTCTGTATGTTATATACAAATGTTATACAAATTTTATACGGGTTAAAAGCGAAAAAAGCCTTTATACCGCAAGCGCAACATTATTTTATACAGGAATCAATATTTAGCTCTATGAAGATAAAACACCTAAAAGACCAAAGTAACAATGTTTTATCTTTCTATTTACTTAAAAAACAAGGTAAAATGATAAACTTAAATAGTGTACGTCTTGTATCCCATTTTCAATACAATGAGTCAATTATTAGCCAAAACAAGTATATGCACTAATTAATCTAATAATTGTTAACTTTTGTATTACGTTTCTCACATTATAATCTTTGGCTAATTTTGTCCAAAAATCTAAATACTGTTGCATAATTTTTTCCCTTCAGAATTGCGTAGTGGCAATAATCATAATCATACAGTGGTGGGCTTAGCTGAACTAAATCATGATTAAATTTGCACCCGTGACCTGCCTTAATTAGTTCATGGCTTAGATCCCCATATTCATTTAACCAAGCTGGAACTTATCATACAATTCTTTTTTCTCAAGTGGTCCATTGGTTTGGTACACCACATCATGCCCCATGATTAATGATTTCTCCCATTAATTAATTAATGTTAATACAACTAAGAAAACCAAAAGGGATCTAATGTAAGAATGGAACATTGGAATAAGAATGATGCTAAAACCAAAAGTTGCTTAATCCACAGCGCACAAAGATTTGAGATAGTGGATTATGTACACACGTGCTATAGTCAATTGATTAACCCACACTAATCAGCCTGTCAAATTAGAATCTTTCTTCCTCTTTAAAATTCTAGTTTAATTTATCATTTTAATTCAATCTAAGCTTTATAACTAGTCTAAGAAGAAGTCTTAGTTGTCCGACCAAAAAATATTCTGTTTTGTCTTTTTATAATATATTTGAGGGGAAAAGACATTCTCAAAGTGACCTTACCTAACAAGCCGACCACGCTTGATTTCTTTGATAGTACTAATATCTTAGTAATAAAATTAGCTAAAAGTGACAATATATAATCACTCTTAAAATAATAGTCGAAAAAATATATAATTTTTATATATTTTTGTATATATATTATGTATGTTATATATAAAAAAATTATACAAACTTTCGCTAGCGAATATAAAAAATTTCTAGCACGGACTAAAAATGATAACACCCTATTAACATGTAGAGAATTTTAATTATGTGCTTGACTGGACTTCTTTTCCTCTTAATCAGCACCTTTTGGTTACATGCATGTGGTTCACATATAAAAACATTTAATTTCATTTGAATATTTATCAATCCTCTCCTTTTTTTTTTCTTTTTTTTTTTGAAGTTGTGGATGGTGATCAGACTCACAGGGTCACACTTTAAGATACAAAGGTACTAACAATTTACTGGTAACTACTCAATTTTTACTTTTTTTTTTTACCAAGTGAATTCAACAGTCAATATCGATCAACTTTCAAAGTGTAGAATCCATGCCTAGTATATGAAAAAAAGAATCAAAAGCTAAAAATAACCAACCGATTGAATTTTCGCGTTAAAACTGACACTGAAATAAGAAGAAAATACAGAAAACGTCAAAAGGGACAAACAATTTTCATCATATGCGAATTCAGAACTTTAAGTAATTGAATGCAGAATATATATACTATTAATCTCTTCAATAATGTGAAGTGAACATTGAACAATAATTTGGACAGAATGAATAGTAGATATAGCGACATTTCTCCAATATTGAATACTTTAGGAACAAAGTACTTGATATTACCATCATTATCATGTTATCACCAACTATTCTTTGTAATCTCCATCTTAATTTTAATTGTAGTGTTGACATATGAAAATTTTAATTGTAGGATGAATTATTTTAAATGAATTAGATTAGTCCTGTTAGCCATTGAGTGGTTAGCGGTTACTACCTTAAAAGATGTCTCGTCCCTTTATTTCAATAATCTCGATGTGAACAATTAATCCATAAATTTAATATTTGATTCTAATTTACATGGGTAAATAAACACTAGCTATATAATGACTCAGCCATTGTCATTAAGAAGAAGGACGTACGACACAATGGTAGTTTACACCTACTGATTTAAAATTTCGGATGCATATCATTTCAATTTTATTGAATATCTCCAAATGGACCAAAACAAAAAACAAAAAAACAGTAGTGTATTCTAGGAATAGGTAGACATGGCTATGGTTTTCATAATAATCATTCAATAGATGACTAGATTGCAGAACCATGCTATATATGAGAAGCCATGTCACTACATTCAGAGGCCGATCCAAGATTTAAACCCTATAGGTTCAACCTTTAAGATTTTTAGCATTGAACTCATTATAAAGCTATGAGTTCAAATCAATTATTTATTGCAATTTTAATAAATTTTACACATAAATATATGTTCCACATCGAAAATTATGAGTTCAGTTGAGCTCGTCAGCTATACGCTACATACGCCCCGGACTACGTTTATGGCCATCTTAGCATCAAGAAATGGCCAAAACTAGACATATTTGACACTACCGTTTACTTTTAGAATGGGATAATATTGCAGCCAATACAAATATATAATCATCATCATACCATTGAAAATAATGAATAGGATGTTATACACAAGTTCGATGTTGCTATTCGATCTAAAGATTTTTCCGATATGTACCAATAACTGTAAGGGGTCGTTTTGGTTAGTTCAGAATATTTAGTGGGGGTTTGGACATAACAATTGTAAAATTCCCAAAAAAGTGATTTTTTTTTTCAAGTGAAAATAATATTTGAAAATTAGAGTTGTGATTGGACAAGGGTTGTTTTTGAACTGAGTGAAAATTTTGAAAAATAACTTTTTGGAGTTTTTTAAATTTTCGAAAAATTCCAAAATTTATATTCAAATGAAAATTAAAAATTTTTATGGCCAAACACTGATTTTGAAAAAAATAAAAAATTTTCGAAAAAAGTAAAAAAACTCTTATGTCCAAACAGGCCCTTAATCTCGGTATAAAATCTTGGATAAGATAATACAATGTTTGCTTGGCCATATAAGGAAAAAAAATAATCGTTCGTATAACTAATGAAATGTTTGATTAGTGGTACTAAATAATACCGGGATTAAACTATGCGAGAAATTATGTATTAGTTAATGTATGATATCATGTGAATAAGAATACATGTATTAGCAATAAATTATTTAAAGACAAAAATATCCTTGTAAATTAGCATTTCATAAATAACAATCTTTTTATTATTAATTATCGGATAAATAACTCTCCGATCCATTATAATTTTCGTATACATAATTCTTTCACTATAATTCTCGTATAACAAGTAAGTATATGACCAAACTGCCCATGAAAAATATACTATTCGATTTAAAGATTATTCGACATGTTACATATATTAGATACTTTTTTTACACATACGCATTTTCTAGAATTGTTTGTCATCCTAAAAGCCTAAAGAAACACTACGCCCACCCATTACACCTAAAAATCTTAACCTCTTATAGCATCACAATTTCACAAGGAGAGTCAATTCATCACCGACAATTCCCTTTCATTCTCTAAAATAATGATACCAACTTGACTGAAAAAACAATTTGTATGGCTAGTTTAAGGGAATATATCTAAGAAACCAAGGACGGTGGTACTCTTGTTCTCTATATGTTTGTTGGTTTCCCTTTACTTTTTCTTTTAATTGCTAATTGACCACATGACTACGTGAATAATCCTTATGTCACACATGGCCATTTTTAGTACAAATTTAGCATATGAAACTTCTCTTTTACCAAACTAACGGTGCGCACTATCAACGGTACATATTCTTTCACGAATCATTTCATCGCTTTGATATTTGATAGGATAGTCGATTTCCATGTAATCCGATCTAGATATTGTAACTCCTCGCAATATTACGTCGATATTACGTCCCGCAGTATTATATTACTATGATGTTATGCTTCACAGTATTAAATTAGGACGATGCTGCACCCTGTAGTATTGTATGTTGAATTTGTCGTAAGACAATTGATATTAGTCCAAGGAAAAAGATTATTTAGAGATTATAATAATTATACTATTTTAAACAAATGATAATTAATTTGTGATGATGAGAGAGGAAGCAAGTCAAAGAAAAATGAATTTTTCGTCCAAGTTTGACATATTGAGATAAAATACGGGCCGAACGTTAATACCCGATATTTATGAATTAGTGTCATATAAGGTACTACATGACCATAATAGTAAAGTGTACAAGGTATGTTAAAAGCGAGTAGTATTTTAAAAAAGTTAAGATAATTCTTAATTATGCGGGTAATTAATTAATTACTGGGTAACGGGATATTACCTAATTAACTGGGGATATATTGAATAAGCATTAAAGAGCATGAGGTGGCACCTCATGCAAACTAAGTGACTCACAACTTAGAATTGAAGGTGGCTATCTTAAATGTCATACACTTGACATCTAGTAGATATATTAAAAAGTTTGGCATCTTTGGCTTCACTAGCCTTAAAATAATCAAACTAAGCTTATAGCTTTCTTCATACTCAAACATTTATAAGAATGAAAGTTAACCTCACTCCAACGAGAACGGAGATTAATCTTGAAACAAAACAATTTCAACGGGATTTCTTAGCATCGTAGTAATGTGAGATTTTGCAATACTAAAGGAGTACGGTGCAATTTTTGTCAATAATATCATATGAATTTTTCCCTACTCCGATCTTACCATCACGTGTTTCGTCGCAATTAACGCGTGTTAGAGGGATTGTCACGAGGATCGACTCAGGTATGTTAAGGCTATCCCTTCTTCCTTTTGACATGATCTATACAACAAACGAAACGAACAAATGCATAATTTTCATAAATGAATCTATTCATACAAATACTAGGGGTGTCTATATTCTTGATTCCCCATGTGAATTATTTTTATTATATCTTCTGTTCATGGGTCTCAGAAAAATATATATTTCATAAAGTTTATCCGAAAGATATAGTGATTTTTTATGGCATTCCGAGAAAACCCTATTAATGTATTTCTTATGCATTTATACATGTGCATTGACCAATGACCATATGACGTTATATCTGCATATATGTATGTATATATATAAATATATATGGGATATGGGAAAAGGTTACGGCGTTGTATATGCACCACCACCTGATCAACTGGTATACGTTGATGATTTTGCTCACAGTGGCTGAGATGATATGATGGGATGCCCTCAAAGGATTGATGACATTATGAACACATGTACTTATGCACGACACGATATTCATACAGATATGCATGCCACTCTAAGTATTTCATTATTTACAGAGTTGTCCAGACTTACAGGTTGAGTTATGTACTCTATATTTCTTCCATGTCTCTTATGTACTTATTTATGTGCCTTATATACTCGGTACATTATTCGTACTGACATCCCTTTTGCCTGGGGACGCTGCGTTTCATGCCCGCAGGTACCGATAGACAAGTCGAAACCCTCCAAGTAGGTTATCAGCTCAGCGGAAGATGTTGGTCCGCTCCATTTGCTTAAGAGTTGCTTGTTTGACTAGTATGATTTAGACGTATATTGTTTGGTATGGCAGGACTCTGTCCCGACCTTTATTAAAATTATGTATTCTTAGAGGCCTGTAAACAGATGCCATATACGTAAAAGATTGTATGGCCTTGTCGTCCTATGTTTGGTGTACGTGTGGCTATTTTGCTCTTCTGAGGCCGTATGTCTTGTGTATTAGTTGGTATCACATGTTATATTCTACTTATCTCACGACAGCCTTCTGGCTCAGTTATCTATGATGGTATGACATAAAAAGATACGTTATGTTGGTACTTGGTTGAGTAAGGTACCGAGTGCCCGTCGTGGCCCATCGGCTTGGGTCGTGACAAAAGTGGTATCAGAGTAGTTCCGTCCTAGGGAGTCTACAAGCCGTGTCTAGTAGAGTCTTGTTTATGGGTATCTTGTGCATCACACTTATAAGCAGGAGGCTACAGGGCATTTTGGACTATCACTCTTTCTTATTACTCTATATCGTGTGGTAGAGCCTAGTTGTAAGAACTCAATTTAATAAACTCTATCCTATTCATAATACGATGTTGCCTATCCATAAAGACAGTTGGTAAAAGATTGCATGCGGCTATGGAAGAGTTGAGTTAGAGGAACTTGATTTTACACGATATTTATGATGAGTAAATGTGAGGTCTTCCGCAAATCATGTGTGTAAAGGTGTAAGCTTCTTGATAAGAATCCCAAATGCATGAATATCTATCCACCCATGTGGTAAAAAGCAACGAGAGAATCATAAGGTACATGTTTCAATAAGTACAAGAAGTAAGGTGAAAAACGGTACAAGGTGCCCAGTTAGTAAGGAAGAGCGTTATCTACAATTCGGGAAGAGACAAAATTATTTTGGGTTATCTTCGACAACAACAGATGTATGTACAATCGACCACACCCATCTCAGTCATGCCCAATGAGAGCTAACATATATGGTTTAAGAGAAGGACATGAGATCAGGATCCGACTGGGGTTAGAGTAACCCAAAATAATGGATGGATGGTTTGCGTTAGTTGACATTTCCGAAAGATATTACAAAGGTGCTAATAGAACTCCTTGTGAGACACCCAGATGGTGTACTCTAGAATATTACAATTAGATGTGAATACTAGCATGAAAAAAATGCAGAAGATAGGCACTGAAAGCCTGGAAGGGATAAATATTACCTTAGTGTGGCTTCTGTCCCTAGTAGAGCGAAAACGTTGAGCAAACCAAAGAACCAATGAATGAAACAATGGAAGCTAAAAAGCAAAAGAATGTCTTGTTGAAGGTTCCGAAAGAAAGGGATAGATAGAAATATTAGCAGGGAAATAAGAAGAGAGATAAGGAAGCATTATGAGTAAGATGTGATACATGGATGAAAAACAGTAGATCAAAAGATGATAGTATTACAGAATCTATAGTCAGGTGAAGGAAGAGACGAGAGGTGATAGGCCTTAAGACAACAAAAGAGTATAGGCCATAAGGTTGTATCCTCATTTCGAGAAGTAAGTTCGTGACTCTAACGTGATTTCTAATAGGAAAAGCAAGACCCCATAATAATAGAGATCAGTATGGGCTGGTGAATAGGATAAAATAAAAATAAATTGGGGATTTAGTGATTTGATAATAGTCGACATCATGAGAATTTCAGATTTCATACCGACAATAATAGAATGAACAACAGAAGAAGATTCATGAGAAATTAAGAGAATGGTCATTCAGGAAGACGCTTCCTTAAAGTAAGCAATGTGAGCAAAGTTAAGCTTAAGAGATTGTATGTGCCAGTTATAGTAATTGTCACCTCGCGAGTAAGGAATTTCGTTATCCTTAGTACAGAAGGAATACCGCAAGGAGAGTAAGGGTCATCGATGATGTGAAAGGATGCCAAAAATGAAGAGGTAAAATATTTATAGGCAGATTCTCGTAGCTCCAACTCTTAGTACTCCCCTAAAGGGGGGAATATGGATTGACGTGATATTAAGTCAGAATTAAGTGGTTCTAATAACTATGTAATAATAAAGAAAGAATGCGACAAAAATAAGAAAAAGATGAAATTGCACTTATTAAAATCCTATAGAAATGCCACGATTCTAGGACATTATGCAAAAACGATGTCAAGGAAGAGAAATAAAGGTTCCTGCCTGGGTTGTTATTGATAAATAAGGAGCCAGAGCGAGAGGTAAGTTAAGACAAAGGAAATAACCCAATAAAGGTTACACATAATATTGATATAAGAGTGGGCCAACGAGTGGTTAGTAGTTGAATCAGGAAGATCCTAGTTATGGCTAGATAAGAGGATATAAACAAATCAATAGATTGTACAAGATAAACAGAGTGAACCCCAATATGGGGAAATCAGCCTCTCAGTTATGACATTATAATACTTGAGATATATTCATATGGGAAAGCTAAAAAGGTACCGTATGAGTATTACGGAAACAAAAGAGAGTGTCACTGGTAAGACAATCAAAAATATCAGTTCAGGAACAACCCCACAAGCACAAGGGCGTGGAGATAAGTAACTACGGATAATTATAGGCAAGTAAGGACATAAGGAATAAGGCTTCAACCTAAGCACATTAACCTAAAAAGGAAATGGTCGTGTAACAACAGTCTCACAACAGCATTGTAAGCACTCCAAAAGAAAGTGACACCTACCATGGCTAATGAACGTGAAGTAAAATTAAAAGTAATATTCGAGACCATATGAGTTGCACAAAATTCTGGCATGCATGGGAACTAAGATAAGCTAAGTAAACATGCAACAAGGGGCAAAAAGACCAGAAAAGGTAATAGCTTACGTTTAAAGAAAAGTGAGAAGGAACAAAAAGATTTATTCGATTAATGATCCAGAGTGAGTTACATTACGAATGCACTCAAGGTTTCAGAGTATTATCCCTACAGCACATATGTGAACAATCATACAGTCGTAGAAGACTCCGGTAAAAATTAAAAGGAAGAACTAAGTCCAGGTTATAGATAAGGGATTAAATTATTAGAAGGTTGTATCATGGATATTCCATAGCGTCCATGAAAGGCTAAGTAATACCATGATCCGCAGATCGGAGGATAGCTTAAGCCTACATAAAGGCTGATCAGAAGGAAGAGGACACTAAAGAGTTACATCAACCAAGTAAATCAGAAGTTTGATTATTGGACCCAGAAAATTATAGAAATCGTGATTGAGAATATTGCAGGATCACTCTTAATATCAGAGGTACAAAAGAGATAGTACAATAGCCATATTCTATAACGACCACAAGATAAAGCCAGTTAGAAAAGTACCAGCCTCATAAGAAGCCAGTATGGAGCTACCACCAGATGGTGTATGCACCAGGGGTGCAAGTATTATAAGAGAGCTTCAAGTTGTGGATGTGATTATACCTATGTGAAAGGGAGGTCATATAAGAGATAAATGATATGATGTGAGACTTTAAGATAAGTAAGGTGAAGGTGGACAACACACGAGATACTCAGATACAGAAGGTTGTGAATAGTCCTTACGTAGGACAGAAGGCTAGAAGTACGGGGATTCAATATCTAGGAATAATAGCGGCATCATCAGTAGCATATCCTCCAGCCTATGGTCTAGGTATCGAGAAGCCTGACTAAGAGAATAAAGAAGAGTTAGAGATGATGTGATGTCTCGCTTGATATTCCAGAAAAACATAAGAAAATTTATGATGCAACCAAGTTGAAAGGTTGCAAGTAATATAAATAGATATGTATAGGTTTCAAGCTATTTTATGGTGAAGCAACAAGGTTATAGAAGACATGAGTAAGGATAAGAAAGGGCGAGTGAGAAGGTAACAAAAATGGATAAGTCCTTAGGATTAAACCCATGAAAACAAGAAGAGCAAACGGTTTCTCTAAGTTATACAAAGCTCACTATAGCCTGAATGAACTCAAAAGAGTCTAAGACTAATAACATTTATGAGAGATAGGATACTGTAGAATGGGGATGTGATTATGATAGATAAAGGACGACGTTTGGGCCTTCGATTGAGTAATGGTCTGACGAAAAAAAAGAAAGGGTTTCATGAACTAGACAAGATTAAAATAGCCACGTAAGGCGAGTCACATTGAGATGCTATGAAATACGACTATGGAAGTATAATATCGTATCACCCAGGTGGGTTAGAAAAATCACTTCAAATATTCCACGATGCAAGTAATATAAGCCCTTGTGGCAATATATTACGTAAAAAAAATTCAAGTTATCAATGGATGATTGTAGATCAACATTGAGGTGAATTGACAATGGATAGGTAAAAAAATTTGCAAAGTACAAGATGAGATTGGGCCATCAGTCTTAAAATGAGAAGTAATGAAGAAGCGTTAAAGGATTTAGCTTTATGCATATAGGATAAGCAATAAGAGTAACATGGAGTTCGGTAGCAGACCTCGTTAACGATAAATCGAGGTAAGAATTTTGGTATAATATGGCCTATTTAGATGTAGTAATGCTAATGACACCCAGAGGGATAACTTGACATAATTTTGTATATGTTCACAAAGTGAAGCCTAGATATGCTAAAAGCTGGAAGAGAAGAGAAGAGTCAGGCGCACATACACAGTTAAAGTCGTAAAGTCTGCATGATAGAAGGTAGCAATAGTTACGAGATTAGAAGGATTCCAACTACAAGTCATGGTGTGAGAAAAAGGCTTAAAGGGGGAAATGCCCTGGCCTTTGGGATTCATTCACAGAACAATCGCCTAGATGGCAAGACGAGTACTAAAGTATTCGCAAGACCTATAAGTTATGAGAATGATAAGAGCATCAGTCAACATTTGAGGACAAGTGTTCCAACTGGGGGAATAATGTGACACCCCGCAATATTACGTCGATATTACGTCCCGCAGTATTATATTACCATGATGCTACGCTTCGCAGTATTGAATTACGATGATGTTGCACCCTGTAGTATTGTACGTTGAATTTGTCATAAGGCAATTGACATTAGTCCAAGGAAAAAGATTATTTGGAGATTATAAGGATTATACTATTTTAAACAAATAATGAGTAAATTCGTGATGGTGAGAGGGGAATCAAGTTAAAGAAAAATAAATTTTTCGTCCAAGTTTGGCATATTAGGATAAAATACGGACCGAGCGCTAATACCTGATATTTATGGGTTAGTGCCATACAAGGTACTACATGACCATGATAATAAGGTGTACAAGGTATATTAAAAGCGACTAGTATTTTAAGAAAGTTGAGATAATTC